TGTTCAAATTAATTCCACAAATATTGCATTTACAAAATAATTTATATGCATCAGTGAAGCAGTTTTCTTCCATTATTTGCGGATTTTTTGGATTAAATAATCAGTAGGAAGATATTGCAATTAAAAAAGATAATCACGAGATAAAAATTTGAGTTCCTTCGCTTTCGTATAACATGATAAAAATTCGCTTCTATTTTTCATCTAAGTTTCAGGAATTTACTAACTAACTTATATGGTATTTGTCATTCGACAAAGAGATGTTATATTTTTCCAGATGAAAAATACGCAGAAAAAACACTCTTTGAGTTATGCATAGAGTTGTGGACTGACAAACTGCACTGAAGTTGTCGAGAAAGAAAAAGATACATAGCCAAGATTCAAGAAAGCATCAATAAGAGGTGAGTCACCAGCAACTGTTGTCATTGCGTTTGCACCCAGCGAGTTCGTCTCTATGGAATAAATGTTCCGGAGTGATGTCCTCACTGATGTCAAATGTTGGCCCGAGTAATCAAACTGCAAAAAATCCACCAGCAAATATGTTTAGTTTCATATCAGTCTATAATTAATAACAAAATATCTTCAGAGAAGCACAGGAAGTTTAATCACGAAGTTATATCATGCAAAGAATAGAAAAAAGAATTATAAGACATAACAAACGTAGGAAGATGAAACATCAAGAAAACTCACCAGAAGCTTGAATTAGTTAAATTCATTATCCACATCAGTACTACTACACTTCGTTCCAATCTTTTTTTTCTAAATTTATAAAAAACCATTTTTGCATTATTTAATCAAATATTACTAACTTGCATCAGATCCGGACAACTTCCTCCTATTAAAATCCGATCGCCGTTCATTTTTGCTACGGTGTATCGCATTAGGGGAGGACGCTCACAAATTAAAGCTGAAGCTAATGACCTTGAACCAATATGCCAGATAGCAGGTTCCACATCGCCGCCACAAACCTGAAGACATTTGAGGAATACTTTCTAATCCTTCTGAATTAACTCCATCAGACGCTGATAAAGTAACTGTTTGCATTCACTACAGAAGGTCACTAACTATCACTTATAAGATCACCGGTTTTATTTCTACAAATTTTTCATACGATCTAACAAAATATATCAATTATATCAAACATGAAGCACGACCAGATAAACAATATCAACCACAATCTTATTGTTATTCTATTTCCAGATATTTATAACAAAAACTATTTAAAAAGCTTATTTTGGCTAAGTATTGACTGTTTATTACTTTTATCTCAAACAAATAATCATTTGCATCATTTTTAACTGCGATAAGCAGACAATCTATTATGCTTTAAATTGTAGATAATCTTTGCAAATATACCATGAAATCTTCTTCAACATCCAAAGCGCAAATTCCTCGACCATAACTGCTTCGACTAAGCTTTCCTTCTGTAGCTACATTGAAGACATGGATATTCTTAGAACGCACATCCCAGAGGCGAACAGTACCATCTTCAGATGAACTCAAAAATACATGTTCTGATTGCACTGCTAATTCATTTACATATTCACTATGTCCGATGAATGTCGAAATGATCTAAAATTCGAAAATTTGAAAGAAATATAAATTGTAAAAAGTCATTACTGCCATCTAATGCAATGAACACAGGATAAAGTTTTAATAAATAACCACACTTACTGACGGTTGCCTTAACGTAATCAATTGTTCCGCATATGAATACAATATGAGCCACACAATAATTCCAACGAGATAAGTAAACTTATATTTTCTGAAGCATAACTAAAAAAAGAGGAACAAACCTTATCCGGACGATCAAGTTCTATCAAACGAATTGCATTGTCTCCAGCTCCAGCATACAGCACACAATTATTATCGTTTGCTCCACAGCAAGCTATAGCATTTATTTCACATGGTGGTGCAACTGACAAATTTGTAGGAAAACCATTAAATTTGCATAAAGGATCGCAACGGCCGGAAGTATCAGAGTGGGTGATATCATCCCAATTATAAACAGCTAACTGGCCCATTGAGTTACCACAAACTAATCTTGAATGAACCGTAGTGAAAGCGTAAACTGATTCATCCAACTTTAGCCGATTCTTGAATCGTCGCTCATTGTTGGAGGCATTCAATTCAAGAGCCTGACGAATTTCGAAAAGATATAAATGGGCACGCGAATTCGTCACTATTAACCAATTACCTAAAAGAACTTTGTTTAGTACAGTACCCATTTCTCGACATTTCACTTGTCAGCGACATCTACTACTACCTAAGAATCATAGGCAGAGTAGAGTTAGACTCGTTTAAGATGATTACATTTATTTGACTCCACAGTTCTCAGTATAAGTTAATCACTTATATTTATGAACAGGATATTCAGGGAGAAATAAGCAGTAAAAGTGGGAAATTGCAACTTATTAACTGTCTCTAACAATAAACATAAAAAAGGCTAGTCTTTAATGAAGTAAATGCTTGCTGACATGAACATTCTCATTATCATTTTTATATTTTTAAAATTGTCACAACGAAATTTCCCTTTAATAAAATTTTTTTTCCCCTTTAAAATTGCAATAAAAAAACCCTATGTTACATTATGATCAAAATGACTAAAACCATCGTCTACAAATCTTACCATCCGGAGAAAAACGCTGACGATAAATTCTGTTGTAGAATGTTTGTCGAAAAAATGCCGAATCTGATTCTTCTACAATCATCCTAGAAATTAACCCAAACCCATAAAAGCAACGATAACATGCCGAACTGCTGATAAATCGATATATCTTGACATTCGCCAGTGAAATATTTTACATATAACGGAACATTCCACATGTATATATTTCCACATAGTTGAATCCAACTCCCTGCTAGTATTACCATACTTTTGAAGCAACATTTTTCTCATACAGAAATTAATAAAATCAATTTGGAAGGGGAACTATCCTTTGCATGAAAGAAACCTTGATAAAACTCATTCCAAACTTAACTGCGTCTTCTCATTAATTTCACGATTCCCGATATTGTATTAAAATCATATCTCAAGTCCGACTTGAATAGTTGCAAAATTAATATTGCAATTTTTAATTAAAATTCATTAAAACTAAAAAACATAGGAATTTAAGATGCATCAACATCAACAGTGATTGCCACGCAACATTATAAAGACCATATAAAAATTATTTGATGAGTATCAAAGTGAAGTTCAGCAACTTTACAAAAGCAAAGAGCTTGAAACATTTATCAAACATAATAAAAATAATTAAATAAAATTGCAAAAATAAATGAAAGACAACGAAAAATGGGAACAAACAATTCTAGAAATAATGACTATTCCTGCCAACTACTCTTGAAAACTATCTTGACATCTCACTTCCTAAATATATTCAAACAATTCACGTGCAACAGATTCCATCAAGAAATATTTAAAATTCGAACTACTGCATGTAAGTCAGCCTTTACATTTGCACATTTTTGCTCCTTTTGAATTTAAAAACATTGTCACTTATATGACGGCTAATTTATCCATGAATATGCTAGCATGACCTTCCCTACCTTTTCGAAACCGAAAACGTCCCAAGGAAATAATTACGGACTTTATATTTAAATGAGACATGAACAACATACAAGCTAAGAATACCACCTTCAAGATTATAAAATTTCAACTTATCGTATTCACAATGCTTTTTTAAATCAGTTCAACCCGCGATTTGGCAGGTAAACGAAAATGAAATAAACTAAGTGAAATAACGGACAGTAGGCTGTATCGAACCTGACTTTTTTGATAATACTGCACATGAAACTGTCATTCCAAAATGAAAAGTATTAATGACCAGAGAGCACATCCCTAACAACAATGGAAAAAATTCGCATTTTGAGTTTATCAAAAGTCTAATTTTTTTGACAAGTACAAGTTGTTTCTTTGCCGAATTTCAGTTCTGAACCAGTTTTTGGAACCCGTACTCAATACAGCTTCCAGTTAACACGACTAAACAAAATACAAAAAAGCTATTTGAACCGACAGTAAGAAAAAAAACAAAGAGAAACAAAAAAAGCGCCGATATCAGATATGAATATAACCGATACTATCAACTAGAACTCAAACATTGATGGATAAACGAGGCTCATAAGAACTAATACACGTAATTTAGGTAGGAAAACAAATTGAAGGACAAACAAAAACAGAAAATAAAAAACGATAGCATACACAAAATACCTGGATCCGAACAAACAAAATTTCAAAACTTGGAAACCAGCACATACTCTCGTGTAATAGGCTCTTTTACACTGACGGAATTGAAGTTAAAGACTTATTTGTTTTTGTATAACTCCTATAAATGCATTTAAAGTTCATTATTTATTCAAATATTTTGGTTATTTCAGTGATGACATAAATATATGTTTGTAATATCTCATGCATAAAATATAAAATTATGATGCGAAGTAGCATATATATTGAAATATAATGTAACCATATAAAGTAAATCACGTGACAATTAACATATATAAATTATGCAGAAAAATATAAAACAGTTAACCCATATTCATGAAAATAGAATCCTCCCAGACAATTTACCAACAGAAATTTGTTAAGACAAGTATTACTGGGTTCAATAAGTTATGTATATTATATCATCAAATTAGTTAGTGATGTCATTTATAATTTCAAATAAAAATACAACTAAATGGGGTAAAATCGGATTTATCCCTATCCGAGCAAAATTTTTGCTTATGATGCACGTTCTGCAATGTGTGACTTATTACCACGAAAGGATAGTGAGAAGAAAAAATAAATATCCAAATATACTGTTCTTGAAAAATTTTAATAAATTCTTGGAATTTGCAAATCTTCCCACTGTTTTAACATTATACATAAGAGCACCAAACAGAAAGCATGTGTTCGTAGACAAATTAAAAATAACGAAAGAGAAAACAAAATAACAAAAGAGTCTGTAAAAAAGCAAGTATAAACTGAAATAACTTATAACAGGAAACAAAACAAAAAGAATGAAAAGAATAACCTATCAAGCGAACCAAAAATAAAAATAAAAATAAAAAAAACACAGAGCAAATGTTAAAAACAAAGACAACTTACACAGTTGTGAGAAAGTTCCAGAGGGAGATACAGTTGCTGCGGAGAAAACATCGTCGGCAGACTTATAAGAACATGGAATCTCCAAAAAAGTTTGGAATTATCGGTCTATTCCGCGACATCACGTACTGTTATCTGATTCATGGATTTATGTCACAATAAAGTAAAAAAGGAAATGTTCAAATTTAAATATAAATATAAATTTTTGATATTTTAGTTTTGGAGTGTGAGAACAATTAGCTGATTACTGAACTATCAGCAAGTGGCGGAACCGACCAAAAGCCATAATAAAACAAAATGACTGGTGTAGATTATCATATGAATACCACAAATCACCAACCAAACTGACATTTACCGCAATTTTACTAAACGTCGTATTGATTTGCTAATCTTTGCTTCAGCGGAACAGGGAATTGTGATGTGAATGCTGTCCAGTTTAAATCGCCAACTTGTTGTCGAAAACCGTGTAAAATCTAAAAGACCATTACAAAGTTAATAAAAGATTGTGTCATCATATATATAGAAACTTTTTATTATTTGTATTATAATTTCTATGCAGTGTAAAGAAGCAATCAGTTGTTGCCCGAAAGATTACATTCACGTTATGTACTATTTACAAGAAAATTCGAACTCGTCACGTAAAAACATATTTTAAGCACCTATAAGTTTTTGGGGAAAAAAATTAGTCATAGTTGCATTGAAAAAAAATATTGCGAAATGATTTCAGGAAAACATATTTAAGACAATATTAACAGTCCTTACCCTTGAAAACATCATTTTCAATTCAGGTTGCGGATTATTCCAAGATGCAATAGCATCACATAAAAATATGAACTCCTAAAATAAGTCGCAAATATGATGATTTATAAGATAAAATTTCATTATCTATTGATGAAATTTACGCTTTTGCATGATCATATTTTAACATTTAGGTTAAGTAATTTATGATAATGAATAACGTAGTAAAACGATTTTGATTTAGATATTACCGAAGGGACAATCCCTATCGTATGCTCATCATAGTGTCAGAGATTAAGTAAAATATTTGTTAACAGTGAAAAGAATACCGCAAGTACTCCAGCGGGATTGAGATTAATCATGTTACATAGACCCCTAAAGGCGCTCTCTTTTTCATCGTTGTCGCGTATATTCCGCAGTGCCAAACACCACGGACGAATGAACTGCGGTAAGAACGGTGCAACTTCATTAGCACAACTAATGCCCAAACGACCAAGAGTTATTGCTGAAAGACATATAAATAAAAACGTTTCCATATTTCTGAATTATCTTAAAACTTGTGAGGGAAAATTTAAAGTAGAAGAATTATGCAAAAATAGAGAGCAAAATTCAAAATAAAAAACTAAACAATTCTCAAAACTAAATAAAAAATCTTTTACCAGTATTTTCTAGCAGTGTCTTTGGCCCTTTCTCTCTATTCATTACGATTATCAGGGCCGGTAATAGCCCAAGCACGTGTGGACGCATACCCTCACCCATCTTCATAGCTATTTCACCAATTGCCCATATCGAATTATTACACACAGATATCGCATCGGGATCCAAATTCTGCGCCAAAATAGGAAGGAAGATATCTGCAAATATTTTAAACAGATAGAATGAAAGAGTTGAGATATAACTGCTATTTTAAAGTAATATTTAAACAAAACATCCAAGCTTGGTTTTCAAGCTTAAACTCAGGCTACATATGTTATATGCGTTTCAAATTAACAGTGAATAAAAGAAAGAATATTTCACATGAAAAAAAGCCCACTTATATGAGGTTGAAGATAATGATAACAAGCTTTGGATAAATCACCAAGCAAAGCGAATGAACTCTGCCGTACTTCAGCACTTGAATCCTAAAATAATTATTGAAGTTCTCTGCAAATCAGAAAGATGGTTTGGAAATTTTCAAAATTAGCAATTTCAACCGAAATGGAAGTTTATGACATTGCACATTAGAGTACCATAGAGCACTGGTAAACAAGGCCAATAATTTGACTCGGTCCAACAAGAGAATCAATGTGTTCTGCAAGCCCTTCTGCAAGTCCCGAGAGAAGATCTAATGCAACAATAAGGAAATCTTTGTCTGGCATATCATATTCTAACGGTCGCTCCATGGCCAGCTGCGACTGTTGCAAGCAGCGTCCAATCAATGCTGTGCATCTTAAACAAAATGATTACTAATTTGAGTAAGTGTAATAGTGATAAAAACTAATCAAAAAGCTAATTATTCAAAATGGAAAATCACAACAAATTCTGTCATAAGCTATGTCATCTAAAACAAAAAGCAAGGGAACCTTTGAAAAACAGGTTCGCAATATGGAAGGAATGCTTCATGAAGAGCGGTAGCAACAGAAGATAAGCATTCTAACAATGGAAATAGTTCTTTGTCATCATCGCCAAGAGCAGCCCATTTTGCCATCAGTGGTCTCATAATTGTCTGCATAAAAATAATCAGCTATGCAAAAGATGTCTACAATATAATAGAAAGACAAATATCAGAACTAACGATTCATAAAACAAACCCCAACGTATTGTGGTTCATTTAAATTTGGACCAACACTGTCTGCCAATGTACCCACCGCGTCATATAGTATGAGTAAATTTTTAGCCTGAAATTATAAT